ATTTATTATGTATTGATACATTTGATATTCTGTCACTTTTTACTGCCATGTTTTTCACCATCACAAGTCTATTTCTTTTGTTTTAATTTAGACCTTTGTTTAAACAAGGTTACCACTTGAGTTCTGGGGACAGTTTTACAGAATATGACAGGTAAAAAAGAGACTATCCGGGCCTTTGCACTTTACTAGTTACCTGGAAATGAACTTAGTAAGTGATGCCTCAAAGTTTCAGACATTCATATACTGTACAGTAGTGCATTTGTAACCAAAGCACGTGGGATCAGATCATATGCTGTATTTGAACCTCCATTACTGGTGTACTTCTGATCAACCAAACAATATAGCCCAAACGAAACTGCAGGTAACATTACCATAATACAAGTTAATTGCTTAGCAATCCTGGGGGACTGATCTCACTGTAATGATCATAGTTTAGGCACTGTGGTCGAGCTAGCCAAGGTGTACTTAATATCTTCTGGCAGTGTGTAGGATCATTGGTAAAACGCTGTAAAAAGGTGAGGCAAAACAATCTACTGAGTTTATGATTTCATTGGCACCTTATGATATCATTTTCAGCTCTTCTTGGACCATGTGGAGTATATAATCCCCTAAGACAAATATCATTACATAACATCCATATACAGAATTTAAAATAATTATCGTATTTCAGCTATATTTTTTCTAGTTATTTTTGAAAATCATACTACATTAATGTGACTATAAATAAAAGGAAGTGCCAAATATCTTCACTGGCTTGTCTCAAACTACAACATGCAAAAGAAATGTAAAATCCGTACTTTCAGATAATTATTTCAGAAAGGCAATTGATAATTGATACAGTATTTTACATGTTTTTAAAAATACCATATGTCAGTTTATTTATACGTTGTTCTATGTCTTAACTGTCTATGTACTGTATACTATTTGGGTCTCTGTTCTTTTTTAATCAGTTCAGATCTATTATTACTTTATTAATTAACAGATGTAGACGTAGATGCATAACTGACATTATGAAATTCCTAAGCACTTAAGGAAATAGCAGAATTGAATGAGTAGGGAACTGCATCAGTGTGTGTTGGTTGCAAAGGAACAAGCTTAATTCCTTGTTAAAAAGTACAAAGAAGAAACACAACATTTCAGCAATAGAAACATTATCATACCCAAGGAAGGCTCAACTACTGAAACATTGTGTTTTATCTTTCTACTTTTCGGCATGGAATTAACCTCGTAACTTGATTCCTTGTAGCAGTCAGGGATTCTCAAGATTAAGTATATAATACTTTCCAAATGGATTTCAAAGTATTATGTGATTTATACTAGCTCTTCAAGTTAGGAACAAAAACATTTAAAACAATAAAAAATGAAGAGCTAAAACGTTAAAATGTCCTTCAACTAGACTTCTTTTTCTGTTCCTAAAGATATAATAATTAAAATAATTTGACACTAACATGCAGCACCAAACTTCTGAATTGAGCATTACCTGGCCCAATACATGACCGATCAGATGGAGAAGGGAGAGACTGCAGAGATTGAACAAAGGGCAAACTCTGGGGAAACTAGACTGAGCAGTCCCAAAGTGGAACTCAGGTGGATGCTGCACATTGGTGGTGGTGGAGGGGAGACCCCATTACCTGTAAAGCACTTTGAGTGGAGTGTCCAGAAAAGCGCTATATAAGTGTAAGCAATTATAATTAATTAATTATAACTCAATCGGGATTTCAAGGTTAATAAGCCTACTATTCCAAAAAATGCCCTGGGATTTTTAATGACCTAGTAGCTTGGACCTTGATTTGACATCTCCATCACCATGCTGATCCACAACTATTAGTGACAATCTCTTTTCTCTTAGTGGTCTCCCATCCCAGTACTGAACTGGCCCAGTCTTGCAGAAGTTCTGAGATCTGATGATAGAAGGATACATGATGAAAGCATTGCTGCCAGTCTATGAACATAACAGGGAATCTCTTTGTTTAGCATTAGAATCCCATAGATGAATAAATTAACAACAAATGAGCTACAGTCTAGCTAAATGTTTTGCAAGGTAAATGTATTTTAAAATGAACACTCCTGGCATGATATGGTCACATATGAGCAGAGGATTATTATTGATTATGTTATTACTGCTGTTGTTGTTGCTGTTGTTTTTGTTGTTTAATTTATCTGATTTAAAATATAATGAATTTCCTTGACAAAATTATCTTTAGAGAATAGATGTATTAATCTTAAGTGCAACATACCTGAGTCAATCAAAAACTATTAGGATACCTCACTAACATTGCAATGTTGGTTATGTTTGGAAGATTGAGGGTGATAATGCAAGAGACTTTCTAATTTTCATTATCTACTATGTGTGCTTCACAGAAGAAATATTTGTAGTTACCACTTTAATTATGACTTGGAAACTTTAATTCTGACTTTGGCAGAAAGTGTCAAAATGTTTATGATATTATGATTTTTCTGCAACACATATAATTAAAGTATTAATTGTGTACTTGTGCCTGGGGCTGGGTGTGTTTTTTTCTATGCACTAAGCTTAAAAAAATGTTATTGTTAACAGCGAACAGTGCCATGATATCAAGTTATTGTTATGCATGTGTGCGTTTAAAAGTTAAATAGAATAATATTTGTTGAGTGAGTGTTTTTTTACCATTCATTATGTTTCTGTTAATTATTGCAAATATGTAGTTCATCTATCTGTGCAGAGTATTCTTTCTCTTTTTTCATTCATTCTCTTTCTCTTTTACCTTCATGTGCTGTATAAGGTAAACTTCTGACTTGGGTTTACTGTATATTTAATTTCAGCACTTTGTCACAGGCCGATCGTTATGCCCCAGTGCAGTGTGCATTTCTAGAAAAAAAAAGATTGCTGCTTTTCCCTTACAAACTCTCTTTCCTATGGCCAACCTTGTTCATGTTTCTATGAATAATTTACCCCAAACTGAAAAATTCAGTTGAAGCTGAGAAATAACCGCTGTAGTCAGCTCTAAATACAGTACATCATCGAGCAGACTGGCTTGTACTTTCTAAAAATAATCCAAACTAAAGTAAATCAAATCTGCCTAATCGTATAGAGGGTAGACATCTGTTTACCTTTTTATTTGTTCTAAAGAGGGAGCACCAGTGAATATATTATTTTTCCAAATAAATGTGTTTTTTTCCCCACCGTTACATAGTAATTCTAGAAAGAATATTTGGATTGAAAGCTGTTGCTACAGTATCTACTGTACTGTTTGACTGGCACCAACCCAAGAAAACATTATTCGTATGAATGAAGTCAATGCAGCCTAATACTGTACACCAAATACACTGACATTGGAAGTTCCGAGGTCACGCTTTTAGAGACACATTTCTACAAACTCAAAACAGTTGCATTACAATCATTATAATTATTAAACGATATGGTTTGAACAGTGGCATTTGAAACACGAAACTTGTGCCATCCTGCAAAAAGGCACGTCTCTGAAGCCTCAGTTTTCTAATAAAGTACACTTTCGCATCAATAAAATGATTAAAGCCACTTGCTCCTCTGGAGATTTGGCTCAGGCACTATGACAAGACATTTCAGTTGTAATTCTAGTGCTAAACAGATTCAGAATTTGTAGACGCATTAAGGAGAAAATCTCCGATACACCCATACTTTCGGAGTTCAGTTAGCCTCAAGGAAACAATTGGAAAAACTCCAGTAAAGCTTTCCAATCCACTGATTTTGTGAACAGGGCGTAGTTGACTCATTTCTGCTAAATATCTTTTGTCAATCATTCTTGAATAAGAATCGCGTTTATTCCCTTGTTCGTTGCAATCTTACACTGCATTATATTTATAACTAAAAAGAAATGTACACGGCTACTGCCTTCTGCAAGAAGAAATTATAGCAAAACGACTACAAGGGAGAAACAGAGCACAAAGTGTTTTGCATCAGCATAATGTGGTGGTAAGTGAGTTAACGCAGTTGACAATGTTATGGAACTCACCTTGCAGATCTGAAAGTTTTCAGAAGTGAGGGTTTCATGTACTTCCATTTCCCTGGGGGTCGTCACCGCCGTGGGAACTCCAGCTGTACCACTCGGGCACAGGGGAGGCCCGGTACTAACTGGGGAAGAGGCAGTCAAACCATCTAACACCTTTCGAAAATTGAACTTCTTCATTTCCAAAAATAAAATTCGTTTTCCGGTAAAGTAGAATTACATTTATAAGAATTCCGATGAGTAAATAAACTCTTCCGGGAATTATCGGCGCAGTCCCTTCCCCTAATTTTAAGTACAATTAAAAAAGTCGTAGAGGGATCACATCTTTATCTAACATAATGTCCATGAAACAGCTCATTTTCCGCACTCGCCAGCTTTCTAGACAACAAGCATCAAAATTGTTGCCAAGACTTATTAATACATTAAAATTTCATACGGTATTAAATTACACCATGAAACTTCATGTTCACAGGCAAGAAAATGAATCCCCTTAAAAGCATTGGAAAATTAGAGAAAATATTTATTCATCAGCAACGGAATATTTAGGTGGTATCAAAGACAGTGTTGAAGGTTTGCTGATTTGATAACCAGATCAATAAACCATGAAATAATAGCAGAAATGTTCTGAATGTTTCTTCAATTTGATCCTTAATGTTATGACAGAAAAAAACAGGTTCTTAACATCAGTAATCGCTGCCTCTTCCAAATACCTATTCCCACTCGTCTTATAAAAATGCGAACCAGAAAACTATTTTACAAAATGAGAGCATTTTCATTTTTCACGCTGCATGGTAGCATTTCCCCGTCTTCAAGCATTTTTCTCCGACAATCCTTTCGTCTGCAGTGAATGCGAGCTGCTGTCCATGGTACTGAAAGAAAAGCACGAACTCCGCCTCTTGCCCCTACGGCTTCTCCCCGCCTATCACTGGCTGTGGCTGGCTAATATATGAAGCGACTGCCAATTAATGAAAAGCTTTGTGTTCCTTTTACAGCAACGTGTCTAAGTACTACCCTTCCTTTTAGTCCATGCACATATTTTACAGCGCTTTCGACTCTCGTCTGCATTACCTAATTTTGCAAGTAACCCAAATCGGAGCTCAAGCCAACGCGCTTCACTGATTGTTTAGAATTAATTTTACCAGCTGTTTTGTATCTGACACCTGCTCTATTCATTATTGTCATTCTAACCGGAATCAGTATATGTTTACTGAGATATCGTTATTTGAGGCACGTTAAGTTCAAACGTTACTTGCTATTTGTTGTTGAGCATTTTCCTGTTTTATTCAATGAATATAATAGCAAATTGCTGAACTTTGCTAAAGCATTTAATTACTACAATCTTTAGGGAAGATATGTTACTACTGCTTCATGTAAGTAATGAGACCTAGAATACCTGTTATTTATATAAATAGTAATTATACCTAAAAATGGTCTATAGGGAACACTGTTACACCTTTGCATGAAGCTGTTCAGTGGTGAGGATAGCAATATGAGGAGAAGTGAAATATTTTTCCAGTCCAACTACCAGTCAAGGTAGTAGATACTGTCAAATACTAAACCTGTTTGACATAGTGCAACATTAAATAATTATATGACATTAACCTTGAAGATTATGGTGACCAAGCTTGAGGGAACTATAGGCTAATCATGCAATTATTTATCAAGTGTCTCGGCAGTTTTCATAAGCTGTGTGGTGCATTATGCTGTATAAACATTGTGCACTACAGCCTGTTATGCAGCTGACAGTTCAGCAAGGAAGGTTAGCAGTCTTTTATCACTCTTACTGTAGAATAATTGCTAGCCACTGCTCAACAAGACACACTACACTGTCAATTTTGATTATGTAGATTTTAGTCCACCCAGTCTTAAAATTGGAAGTGCCTTTATGAACGACAAAATGTGAAATGGGTCTTGTCTATCAAACACTGTCCGTCCAGGCATCATCAATCTCCAGTCATATAAGTCAATGTACTGTAGCATGAAGTCTGTCCCTGAGTGATAGGCACCAGGTTGAGTTTGCTCTAGCATCAAAATAATCCAGCAAAAGTACTGATGCAATATTTCAATATATATCAGCATTGCCATCTCTTTCCACATTGAGACTGATGAGTGTTTAGTGTGATGGGCAATATGTCTTGCCAAATTTTCCATTTTGACTTTCCTGTGCAAATTCTATGGCAATTTCAGAAGCAGGTTTTACGGTCTTCTAGGAGTCCACACCAGAGTGCCAAGTGTCACCCTTAATCTGTCTTTCTGTTGTCTTGCTATTATCTGGTCTTTGTACAAGTCCCAGCTCACATTGATATAACCCCAGTACCTCTGCAGTGTTACTCTGCTTTCTATACTAATACTGCATGACAACAGTTTTCACTTGTACGGATAACATACTGCCATCTTCTGCAGATCACTGATTGCTAACAGGTGTCCAGTTAATTTAATAGCCTGGGAACTGCTTTTAGACATGAATGCTTTTAGTACCCTCTATTGTTTACAGGTGTTGTTCATGATGCCTTGTTCCCAACAGTCCCATTTAAATGTATATGAAATATTACAGTTATTTGAATATGCCCAAAACCTTCAGTCAGGCCAAATAACCGATGCCACTGACATTTTCATCACTTATCCTTCTCAAATGTCAAGGTATTTACTCCAACCTGAATAGTATTTTTAAAAATGGGTATTCTTTTGGATAGAAAATAGTAAAGCAGCAACACAGAGTCATGTAATTCATCCTTGGGGTGCGGAATTTGCAATGCCCATCATTTGTGGACCCCAGAAGACGAATAGAAAACCTTTATGTAGTGAAACCTGTGCCCAAGCACTTTTATTGTCGTGAAGAAAAGAGAATGTATAGTGTATACTTTGAGCAAAAGAGTTGTCCTCTGCAAGGGCTGCATGTGGTATAGACCAGTGAGCTGTGAACTGTGACTAAATGTGTCAAATGGCCTCTTGTTGTTTGTAACCATTCTTATTTTTATATGTGAAAGCCTTATTATCACCTTCTAGCTTGATCTTGTCAGATCTCATTTGCTATTTAAGGTTGGGTCTCTTATGAAGGAGCTATAAAAATGAGGTTAGCACTGTAAATAGTGTTTGTGGAACAGCAGACATTCTTCCTTCTGTTCCAGATCTGATCTTCCCAAAAGCAATATGAATATATCCTATATATTCCTGCATACAGTATACGATATATGACAAGTCTTTCTCTGAGTCATTCTCAAAAGAACCCTATGTATTTATGTCTCTGCTCTCTTTGGTTGGTCCTTTCCTTCTCTGTAGCCTTAACCCTTTCTAGCCAGCAGAGTTCTGCACCCTCCTGAAAGCCAGTTCCCTGGTTTTACACATCACCAGACCACTTTGTAGAAAACAGTGGTGACTGAGGTCACCGTAGTTAATTAAATAAACATTGGAGATAGAGTATTACCTTTTTAACAAATTTGCAAATACTGTACTCTATATTTCATTACTGTTCAGTAATTAAACATCAAATAAAACAGCACATTATCAAAATAATAAAAGCACCCAGGTGCTTCCCTAACATGATTGCAGTATGAATTACTCACAATTTGCAGCAAAAAAGCATTTGAAGATATAGAGAGGTTGCAACATGTGTAAAAAACAAAGCAACACTGAAGTATAAAACAGAGCCCTGGTGGAAGCTAATGGTGACTGCATTACACTTCACTACTCCATTCAATACATCAGTGAATTGAATTAACTGTACTACCCACTCTTTACATATCAATCAGAAACAATATGGAACTTGAAAATATTATGGACCTACGGGAGATTTTTACAGAAGGCCAAATTCGTGTATGTCACGATTTACATAACCTGGGCAAAGGAGGTACTTGGATCAGGTCCACTTATAGTCCTCTGTGTGTCAGACTAAAAATGTTCAGTTCCTTTAGCCTGTCAATGTAGGAAAATGATTTAAGCTTGGGAAAGTATCTGGTTTCTCTTCTCCAAACTGATTTTAGAGAAGTGTTGTATTTTTTTTTTTTAATGTGGTGACCATAACTGTACCCAATATTCTAAATGAGGTTATACGACTTTAACATAATATGTCTTTATTTGAATTCTATGCTTTCAACTGCATATCCTAGCATTTTGTTTGCTGTCTTGATTGTTTCAATACAGTGACTAGAATACAGAAAATGGGCCTGAAGAGGTTGCTGTTTAAGTTGAAACAATTTATATTTATAGTTAGCTACCTACAGTACTGTACGTGTTATATTCTGTACTTATGTACTCTAAACTTCATCTGTCAGATGTTCTCCCAGTCTTTAATTTAAATCTTTTTGAATTAGTTTTCTGCTGCTACAATGGTTGCTAAACTTCCAGGTTTAATATAATCTGCCCATTCTATTATTTTACTAACTATACTAGAATCTAAACCTTTGCAATAAATTAGGAAGAGCAGGAGTCTTAGTATAGATCCGTGTGACACACTGCTAATTACATCATCCCAGTTTCAACATTTAACCTTCATCTGTATTCTTTGATTTCTATCCATTAACCACTTCCCAATCCAAAGAGAACCATTTTTCTCAAACACTCTTTGTCCGTAAAAAAAACATTAATCTTTTAAGAGGAGATTTATCAAAACCTTCAGAAAATTATAATTGATCATATGATATGCTCTTTTTTTGTCTATAATTGTTTTGGTTGCTTAAATAACTCTAATACACTAATTAAGCAAGATCTACCTTTTCTAAATCCTTATCAAAGTATTCCATAGGATTTTACGATCCATTTGTACTGTATAATTCTGTAGTTTAGTTCTAAAGTATGTGTTTAATTTACTGACCTACTTTAATTGAGTTAAAGTCTACACTTTTTTGTCATTACAGTGTGACCCAAACCTGAACCAGGTGTGACCACACCTTAGGAAGATTTACCAGCTGGGTTGTTGTGTTTCTTCTTTCTACTTTTCAGCATAGAATTAATTGGTACTTGCTCCTTTGCAGCTATTGTATGCAGATGTAGCCCCACACTGATTCGTTTTGTCAATACAGCCAAAACAACAATTCTTTGAAAATAGGCTACTATATAGAATCACTTCTAAGTTTTATGGTAAATAATAAATCAAAACAAAAGAAAACGTTTAGGATTAAAAACCAGGATGACATTTTGAATGCCAGATGCTGCTTTTAACAAAACAATGATGCTGAAGCACACATACAGATTACACCCTTAAAACAAAACAGAATAAAATGATGCTGCAGGAAACAAGTGGAAGCTGAGAACTAGAATGACATGTTGCATATACAAATTAATTATCTTACATTCAGAAAAATGTTTTTTCTAATAATTGTTTAATATGGGAATTCTCAGTCATTAACTTATTGGACAGTGACAGACACTGCAAAATGACAAATCATAAATGACTAATAAACTAGACATCGACTCTATACTGCAGTCTAGCTAGAAAAAAACACCTGCAAATAAACCCAGGTTAAGAGGTATTGTTTAAGATGCGTTAAGGATTAATCTTTTTAATAACATGCACTTGATCTACAGATCAATGATCACATTCTATTAAGTCAGTATTAAAACGTTATTAATATATTCTATGTATAAAACATTAAGTAACCAAGTGTTACCCATCATTGTCATTACAAATTAATGGTATTAGTATTTCAATCTCTTAACAATGGAAGGGGATAAATGTGGATTTCAGAATATAAAACAATTTACAAAATACAGAAGACCATTTGATTTATTTTGCACATTAAATTGGGGAAATATTTTAAGATAAAAAATAACTTCAAGATTCCAAATCAAACATCAAATGTAGATTTATCTTACATATATTTTTCCTTTCCTTAACTTTTAGTATCTTAATCCCAGTGTGTACTGAAGGCTAATGCAATAATGACAGTAAGTATTAAATCTCTTCTGACATCAAGCCAGTCCTGCTTTTAACAATTGTATCCTACATTAATGGCCAAAAGCACATCAATACTGTATAAGGTGGGTAAAACATATTACAGTATTATCTTTCGGCACAAAATGGGAGTGATAA